TTAGCTTGGTGCATTTCCTAAGAACAATGACCCCTCATTCACAGAACTGCCAGCTCTGCCACACTTCAGGGCAAACTCCACTAAAAAGAAAAGAAGAAAAGAAAAAACCCACCATACTCACAATCTGGCTTGTCCACAAAGCCTACTGTTAATTTTCTAGTTCCTTTGTTAAGACAGTTCAAAATAGGAAAAGGACTAAGTACACTGGGGTCAGGAAGATCATACAGCTAATTTTTACCCATCTCTGCCCAAGGGACTTCGCAAACGTATCTTTATGCTAATCATCTCTTCCCTCACCCCTGACTCTGGAGTGTGAGATGCTATTTTAAATTTCTTATTGGAAATGTCATGAAAGGAAGGCTATGCTGGCAGTTTGCTGAGAATGGCTGTCCCTAAGAAGAAAAAAAACAAACAAACCAGAAAGCAAAGAAAAAAAACCCCTACACATAATACAAATAAAGCCAAGTAATCAGACAGCAAAAGCCAAAAGCTCCGACTGTCAGAGGGCTACGGCCCTGCCCCTTTCTGTCCTGCTAAATTTCTAAAGAAAACTGGGTGAACCTGGCAAAACTCAAAGTCAAACAGGCCCATTCAAAACTTCAACTGAAGAGACATTTTGTTGTTCTTCTCCCTTGCCTTGTTGTCTTTCCTCTCTCTCAGGCCGCCCACTTTGGGGAGAACAGCTCTCCTTTCTTACTTTCTGTCAAACAGGCTGACCTCATTTGTCCAGCCTCCTCAGGCTTGGACCCAGGAACTCTCCGCTCCCCCAGCTGCCATGGCCGCTTCGGCAAACCTGTGCTCCTGGGCGACATTTGGGGAGAAATGAATCCTTCTGGTTGAGGGAGGGCTCATGGAGCCTCTGGAACTATAGTGGGTCTTTCTTCACCACAGAAATTATGAATCAGGCTCAAATTTATTAGGATGACTGACTTCCACTCATATTTCTCTTTTGCATGACAAGATGGACAACTCCCCGTCAATGGGGCACCATCAGGCAACCTGCTGCCACGCCGGGACTGACGCTCCGTCCATGGGCCTCCCAGCAGGCACTCGGCGCCACGGTAGGAGTATGGTGCCCTCCTTCCGAACTACACACAGATAACGTGCAAATACGTCACACGGGAAAGAGGACATCATCTTACATAATTACTGAGTTGTGCTTTTAAAACGAATTACGTTTCTCTGATTTTCCAGCTGGGTTTAGATTCCTAAGGAGCACATATGGGTAGAGAAACAATTCACATCTCATGTTTTTGCCATCGGATTGTACAGAATGTTTTCTGATTAGGGATCAGAGTGAATAAACTGCATGAATTCTATATCACGATCACAGGCTTCCTTTCCTACAATTAATTTTCGCATTCATTAATCCTGTGAGTTCGTAAGGTCCAACATGATCTGGCCCACTCACCTCTCACACCTCAGCCGTTGACACTACCGTGCACTAAGTCAGCCATACTGGCTGTTGGGTTCTTTGAACGCACCATGTTCTCCCTCCCAGTCCCCCCTCACCCCGACATTTCCTGGCTCTCTGAATTACACACTCATATTGTAACTTCCTTATGCTTCTGCAACCCTCTCTGGACTTTAAACTCCAAGAGGGCAGAGACCAGGTCTGTTTTTCTTCTTATTCTTCCCCAGGGTCTACCAGACCTTGGCTCATAAAATTGGTCCTTAACATTCTCCAAATGAACGAATTTGAATGAGAGTCTTTTAGCAAAGAACAGCTTCACCCCAAAGTTCTGACTGTCTTAAGATCTCAAAAATCAACCAGAATCTTTCTGGCCTTCAGCCTGACAGTCTATGTGTTACCAATAAAAACTGTGCTCCTTTTGCAGCTCTTCCTTTCAACTCTTTCATTTGTCCGACAGAAGACCCTTTCTCAGGCTTTGGTTTGCAATCTTCCCCGAAAGGCGCACTGAAGACCTTTTCGTTTCTGCCCTGCCTGCCCCGTGGAGGTCACTGTAAGCCCTGCTGCCGTAGGAGCACTTTTCTCATGAACCCAGGGGCCTGCTCTGGCCTCACACCTGCCCAGTGACAGCACTGCCACAGGTCACCGCTCCCTGGAGGGCAGATTTGTTGCCATGGAGAGAGACAGGCTGGTGAGCAAGACCAGGCTGGCTTGGAGAGATTAAAAAAAAAGTGTTGGGTGCCTTTTCACTCATACCTGTCAGCTCGCTTTGCAGAGCTTTATAAAAATCACAGTAGAGAAAATCGACATAAGAATGTTGCTAACAAACAGGATATAAAACACAGATTAAAGCTAAAAACTCAACAGGAGAAAAATACATTCAAATTTTAATAGAAGAATCTTTAATTGCAGTACTGTTAATTCCTTTGCACCTGAGCAAAATTATTGCACCAAACAATCTGAGGAAGAGAGACAATCTAGCTTCACTTTTTTCCATAAACGATGTTTTGTTATTGTTGTGAAATATACAAAACACACAAAAATAGCAACAAATAAGAATAACAACGAACACCCGCTAGTGCTTACTAATACAGCAGGCACTTCACTTGATATGCATGTGTGAGGTTGGTACTGTTGGAAGACCCAGTTCACAGATGCAGAGTCTCAGGTACTGAAGGAGTAAGAGACTTCCTCAGGTCACAAGCATCAAAGGAACGGAGCCAGGATTTGAGCTCAGGCAGTGCGACTACAGATTCCATGCTGCTAACCACTAGACAACACTGCCTCTCAGTTTGCATACAAATGAATGTATTTAACATATGTACGGTTTTAAAATAACATGAATAATCACACACCTGTCCTCTAGCTAAAGGAACTGAATGTTACAAGTATCTTAGAATCTTGCTGTGTGCCCCTCCTCCAGCACATAGCCCCCTGCCCCGGCAAGCACTATCTGGAATTTTGGGTTAATTCTATTGCTTTTTGTTACAGTTTTCATATCTAGACCTCTAAATGACACACTGTTAGTTTTCTACTTCATGAATAATCATAATATGTGTATTCTTCTGTCTTGCTTATTAAACTCAATATTGTTTTTGAAATTCTTCCCTGTTAATGAGCACAAATTTGGTTCACTCCCTTTTCTGAGCTGTAGTCTACCATCGTACGACTGGGCATGCACAATGCTTCATTTTTGTAATAAAACAATTCTGTGGATATCTTTTTACATGACTCAAATTTTTGCAGCACCAGAATCACCTGGATGGCTTGGTAAGCAGGACACAAACTCCTGGCTCCTACCCCTGCAGTTTTTTCCCAGAAGATATGGGGTGGGGTCTGAGAATCTGCATTGCTAACAAGTTCTCAGATGATGCTGACACCATGTGGCCCAAAGACCCCACTTTCAGACCCACTGCTCCTGGGTGCAGACCTGGACGCAGGACAGGGTATGTGTATGCTCAACTTTACCAGATATGCCAGTGTGTCTTCAGAATCTTCCTACAAGTTCACAAAACCATCTGCAGTCCTTCCACATATTTTTAAATTTGTACTGCTCACTTTAAGTTGAACATTTTTTTTTCATATATTTATTGGCCATTAATTTTCTTCTGTGTGATGACTGGTTGGTTCTTGCTAATTTCTCAATTTTTTAAAAATTTTCTTTTTTGATCTATAAGAGTCCATTGTATTTTACGGCTGCCTTTCCCTCTTCAGTTATACAAATTGCAAAAATCTTCCATTTCATGGCTTGTCATTTTACTCTCTTTATGTTGTCCTTTGAAGAACCAAACTTGGTCATTTTAATGTGGGCAAGGTTACCAATCGTTAATTGTTTGTGCTTTCTGTATCATGTTTAAGAAATTCTTCGCTACTCCGAGATCATAACGATAGTGTCCTACAATATATGCTGTTTTCTAAAATTTGTCTTTATTTTACTTTTCACATGTACATCTTAATTTGCCTGGGCTTGATTTTAGCATATGGTGTGAGAGGAGAAAGAAATTTTATATTTTTTCCACACTGTCTCAATTGTTCTGATTTTGTCTAATATCTAGAAGGGTAAGACCCATACAGAAATGTCACATTCTTGGCACTTTGTTCTTCCATGTACATCCAGAATCTGCTTATGAAGTTCCTTCCATGAAAACTCCATTGGAATTTCAGTTATAATTGTACTGACTCTACAGATCAATTTGGGAAGAATACATATTTTTCAAATGTTCTCAGATTTTCCTCTTACTCTCTTAATCTCATTTCACATTTTTCCTTCTCTTTTTCTCTTCGAGCCATATTATGGATTATTCAGATCTATTTTCCAGTTTACTACTCTTCTCTTCAATTGTCTCCAATCTCTGTAATCCTGTGATTTTTGTTTTAGTTCCTATTTTTACACTTTTCATCTCCAGAAGTTCCATTTCCTTATTTTAAAAATCTCTGCAGATTTTTATAGTCTTTTATCCTTGTTCACATTTTCAATGTTTTTAAAAAGATTTCTGAAACATGTTAAAATATTTATTTATAATTTTGACTGGTAAATCCAATAATGAAGTATGTCTAACTCTGCTGTCGTTTCTGTGGTTTTTATTCATAGTGACTTGTATCCTTGTGTTTTAAGTGCAAACTGTGTTTCTCCAGAGGGGGTTTCTGTTTCCATTTGAGAGTCACCTAGAGTTGTTTAGGACAGATATACTGCCATTATGCTATAAAAGAATATCTACTTTAGTTTTCTCCTTTCTCGAAAGAAACAATTCCCCTGTAGATAAAAATATATACTGGAAGCATCTGCTATCAGTCTTATCAGGAGAATCAAAAATTATTCCCACTTTAGAGGATACGAGCTAAGATGTTAAACCATCTTATAAATCAAAGTCTTTACCACTTTTACCTAGCTTCAATAAGGAGGACTTTTATTTGGCTGTGAATGTACCTCCAACAGTAAGAATAGTCCTTTCTGTAGTTTGGTTGCTAAACCGTCCCTATTAGCTCTACTGGACATCATGAATGCTGACAGTGCGTGATTATTATTAATTTTAGTCCCATTACGAAACATGGCCAAGAAGTAACCCTATAATCACAGAAATGCACAAACCTGTGAGGGTCATCTGGATCACAGTTAGGAAGAAACTGAGTGATTGCTTCTGCCACTTCTTCGTTTGATAAAACATCCCACAGTCCATCCGTTGCCAGGATCAGCACATCATCTGCTCCGTGCTCATATCTGGAGAGATCGTAGACTCTGACCTGAAATGAACAGAAATACTCTTGCTTAAGAAGTGAGCATGTTACTCCCCCTAACAGACTGATTTCTGATTCTCTTTCCCCTTTCCTGTCCAGCCCTGCGGTTTGCAGATATGCACTCTGACGTACTTGATTGTGCAGCAAGCTTTGTGGCCAGGGTAGCCTCCTCTGGAGACTTGCAGTACAGATATATGGGGCCCAACAGTTGGCCTTAGTAGTTTAACCATCAAGAAATGTAATGCCTGAGATGTGGCTGAAACACTGACTTACAGCAGATGCGGTGCTGGCCAGAAGAGCAGCTGGAGGCTTGCTTCCTTCCTTCCTTTGCACATCCATTGCACAAACATTACTTAAGGGCCTACTCTGGGCCAGGTGCTCTAAGTATAAAGATGCATAGCAGATTTCTCTTCGAAGCTCAGTGTGTGGGGAAATAAGGCCAGTCTAGGATCCTTAGCGGTGGCTTTGTATGCATTGGTCCGTGATAATCAGGCACAGTTCAGTTAATGCTCAGTGGTCTCCATGATGGCTACACAGACTATCCCCTGGGGTAGGCTATGGGGAAGACAGCGAATGTCACTCCTGGGCTCCTGACTTCAAGTCCTGGCTCACTGTGTATTCAATAACTTTGCTTAAGCGGGACTGCTAACTTCCTACTGGGGCATTTGTCCAGTGAATTTCTGTGATAATTTGAGCTCCACATGATAGAAAATATTAAGTAAAGGGAAGCAGACAGATATAGGTGTTAGGTGGCCCAATCTTATGCTTGTAGTTAAAGAACAAATGCTATCTGCCTTTCAAGTCCGTCTAAAAGAGAGGTTTCTAACTCTGACTGTAACATCCATTTAATTTCAGGACCTGCCCTGTGTGTAGGAGGCCAAAATTTCTTCAAGTGCTTCCTGCTGGCCCCCAGAATGTGGAGATTTGAGTTGTTCAAGCTGAAGCTTCGCTGCCCACTACTCAACTGGAAATCTGGTGAACAGAATGGGCGTGGGCTGATAAACAGAAATATGTTAGAAAACATTCCTTTTTGATTCCGTCAAAAAATTGAATCCTCCCTTAATTCCACTATTCACATTTTCACACACAGCTCTCTAATGTGGTTTCATTAGCCAACATGAAAATCCCTTTCAATACCACTCTCCAAGTAATTTTTATGTAAATAATAAAAAGCTGGCCTCAACTCTATTCCCTGAGGCACTCCCAATTAACATCCTTTTAGGTTTTTTACTGCTCCCCTTCGTTTCCTGCCCTTTAGCCAATTTCCAAAGGACTGCCAACTTTCCACTTACAACTCAGTCTTATACATGAACCTGTGATGCAGAACATTTTGTGGAAAGGCTTTCAGAAAAACTGGACTTCCATGCAAGACATCCCACTGCATGCTCGTCCTACCCCGCAGCAAGGGCTTCAAAGGATTCCGGTGGGCTCTGAGGTCCTGACCTCCCCGCTCTGCCGTTGTACTTGGCCCTCCTCAGTCAGACCACACTCATCTCCTCCAAGTTCCACGTTCAATTCCTTACACAGCTTTTCAATGTGCGGGGAAGGCTCACGTCAAACTAACGGGCTCTGCAGCTCCGCAGGATTCAGAGACCAGGAAGAGAGTCCCTGTGGCAGGGAGGTGTACTGCACCCAGCTTGTGTGAGGGGCGGTGCGGAACGTGGTCAGGGCCTCTGGAGGCTCCTTCCCCTGCTACCGTCTGCCCAGGGAGAGAAAGGCCACAGGAATCCTCGAGGTTCTTGCAGCTCCTCAGAGCAATTTAACTTGAGCCTCTGAGATATGAGATGAGGCCTGTGTGGATCCGTCTGCCCTTGGAAACCTTCATCATGTGTTTACGGAGCATTTACTATGTGCCAACTACCCTTCCAAGCACTGGAGATCCAGCTGTGAACAAAGGTGACAAAGTCTCTCATCACTCTGAACCTAGTAGATGAGAGACGAATTCCAATGTCAGATAGTAAGTGCTCTGAACAAAAATCAGGTAGGGTAAGGAGAGTGACAACGGAGTCATTTTAGGAGGTGTGATTTTGTTGGGCCTCCTGAGGAAGGCTTTATTTGAACAGAGATCTGCCCCGGTGGGCTGAATTCCCACAGTTCCCCTCCTGGGCCTCCCCTTTCTTCCTGGGGTCCCATCCCTTCTCTGGATGAAGACTGTGTTTGCCACCCTTTGCTGCCAAGGCAACCCTGAGGAAGACCAAGGGGCAGCACCCTTCCTTGCCCTGGTCCTCCGAGGTCACAACCCTTTCATGTCCCCTGACACAGTATCTACTTAGTTACACCTGCCTCTGCTCGCCTGTTCATCTCGTCCACAAGGTCACTTATTCTCCAGTTTTAACATGTTTGAGAATCACTTGGTGTTAAATTAAATTAAGATTCCAAAGGTCCACTTCTAAAAATTCTCACTGTGTAGCTCTGAGCCCAGGCGTCAGCCTCTTTAAATACAGACCAGGTAATTCTGATGCGGTGGTGGGGGAGCCACACCTTGAAAACTCGCTGTGAGCCCCTCCTCAAGCACCCCCCCATCCCAACCCCTCGGCGGCGAGCCCCTAGGGGCAAGTTCCAAGATGTCCTATTTGTTTCTGTCACCACAACAGAGGCAGAGCCTGCACTTCGTAACCATTCAGACAATAACCAAGGGAAGCATTTTCCTAGTTGGACATCCACCCTTGTCCTGCTTACAATGAATACCCTGTGAGTCAGTTACCTCCCCCCACCCCACATCCAACCTCTGGAAGCCAGAGATAACCATTCTGCATTTTCTCCTGTGGGCCCAGCAGTATCTTTCACAGTATAAATCATAATAGACTTCAGGACATATTTGCTGAGACAAAGAATAAATAGGGGACAAAGAGAGGAAGGAAAAAATTCAACACAGGTGATCCATTCAGAAGACCCCTAAGCGCATAGTGACCCAACAGACCTAGCTTGCTACCTCCAGCACTCATCAAACTATAATACACTGACATCTCATGGAGGTAGCAGCCTTGTGCCTTTCCATCTCCTGTCCTCAGTGGAGCTGTTCACAAACAACAGTGTTAGGGAGGGAGCAGGAACGAGTGTGGGGCAGAGGACGGGACGGGGACGGGACAGGACACAAGAGCCTTGGCTAACGTGCCCCGAACGAGCCGCGTGAGGACTGTTCTTGCAGAGCCCTTGGCTCAAGAACACTTAGAGATGTCCTTGATGTCACCACGGCCACCTATTTTACACAGGAGCCCGTGACAAGCAACTCTTTAATACATCACCTCCACTTCAGTGTGCAGCCAGCCACAGGCTGCTGTTTCAGCATTTGTCTAATACATGTTCGCATCTTTGCTCTATTACAGATGAAATTCTGGAGGCATGTTAAGAGAGCTCATCCTACTGTAAGCTGATGCTGGTTTCTTAAAACTACATTTGAGAAAGAACCCATCAGTTCTGTCATTTGCCAAATCTTGGCTGCTTCCCTAGGATGCCCTCACAGCTTTCACATCTTGATCAGCTCAGCAGATTCTCCAAACCTCCTTTCCCCTTTACACCCTCAGTGCAGGGCGCGAGCCCCCGCAGTGCAGGCCCAGCTTTCCGGAGGCGCAAGAGCCCTGCCTCTTGCTAGAAGCCCTCACTTCAGGCCTCTGCTTCTCACCAGCTCTGGGACTGGAGATAAGCTATCCATGTTCTCACCTCTGAGATCATTGTTAAAAAATTGAAAAAAAAAATCAACGAAATATTGTAACACCCGTGTCTACCTCTCTCACAAAGCTGTTATAAAGAGCAAATGAGATAATGTAGAAGGTAGTTACAAATTCTGATGCACTGCATGTTACTTTTTATGGCACTTATCTCAGTGTGATACACCTGAAGGTAACCTAGTTGAGGGAAGGAGGTAAGAGTGGGCTCAGGGAACCTGGGGTTCAATTCTAAAAGTCTGATTTAAAATAACAGTGATTGGGCCTTTCAATAGTGTTCCTGGCAGAAAAGTTATTCCCAAGGCAAAGGCTGCCATTAGGTAACAGAAAATAAAGAGAGTACCAAGTCCTGCCCCTGTATCCCTTGTGGCCAACCCGAAAAGCTCAACATTAACTTTGAATATGGCACTTGTACCAGAAGAAAATAAAACTCTGGCTTCTCTCCTTGTGGCCCTATAAACCAAGCAGAGCATTTCAGTATTGGCATCCTGGCACCAAGGCTGCATCCAAATTGTCTTGTGGTTCTGTCTCCACTATTTGATGTCATGAAGCACTCCCTGAATTTGGTGGCAAAAGACTTGGGGTTGAGACCCATGTCTGTCCCTTAGTAGTTGGGCATAGCCATGTTGTTCACTCACATTTCAGCCTATTGACCCTTGTTGGGAACACAGAGTGACGTAAAGATCCATCAGACGGAGAGTGTCAGGGAGCAGGAGTTGGACATTGCATGCCTTACATGTCAGCGCTGCAGGGGCCAAAGGCTGGGGGTGGGAGAGGGGGCTATGTGCTTGGTGGCTTTCCATGGTTCGATCTGGCTAAAGTGCTAGGTTCCTGCTGGGACATGGTCTCAAATCTTCAGTGTCTCCTGGCCGCTGGGGATGCTTATGGTTCTAACATTCTCCTACTCTTTCATCACAGGACGGGTTAGACCTTGATGTGACCGACCACATGACCTCAGAGCGTCTGACTCTAAATGAATCAAGGGACATGTAGTATTACAAATACGTTGGCTGCTCATGCTACCCAAACGGCGCTGGCTGTTTTGGCTGTGGGTATAATTTTATACTTTAAATATACCACAGATATTCTTGAGGGTTTCTTTTTTCCTTCTGGAATCTACAGACAAAATAAACATTTGACTTTGGAGGGCAGGTCCCCTCTAATAGCTCAGGAAGTTTCTAAAGCAGCTAAAATACTAGGTAGTGTGAAAAGTCGCCGAAAGGGCACCCAATGCCTGGTTGGCTGCTATAAGCATGGGCTTCCATTTCCTTCACCTGAGTCTGGGACTTGGCAACTCAGAGAGTTTGAGAAGCTACAGGGAGGAATTTGCAACTTACACGG